TTTCTAGTAATGAAACAAAACATTTAAGGTTATATTTTGACTCCTCAGGATGAATGACCCTGTTTAGAAAGCAAAAGTCGGATTACCACATTAATGTTTTTGATTTAATAATGCATGCCTAGTGCTTCTCAAGGCTAGTGGGGTACTATCATTGCAGCAGGAACTAGGCAGAAAATAGTTGGGAAGTTGTTAGATGCAAATGTCAATCACTCATACTGGAGCTCTACATAAACGTACTATTATGCTTCTAACACGGGTAGAACTCTGCCAGTCAAAATGGTCCATTATTAGTAAATTATCTGGCTTTACATCTTTGAGTCTTGCTAGTCATTTTATATACTGCTGGGTAGCCTTTAGTCTGTTTTCTTAGCCTGAAAACTAAAGTTTTGAATTTGCTCAAGTGGAAAGCTTGTCTATGAGCCTTTTGAAAATGGGTTTACTGAAATGAGTTTACTGTTTACTGAAAACAGGTTTACTTGATGGCTAGAGATATTTCTAAGAATACCCTGTGCAGGTCCTGATACAACCTTCTAACAGGAAGAACTTAACTAACCCTCCAAGAGTGCATGGGGGAGGGAACAACCTGCCTCAGAATCATGTTCAGCACTTAAACTATTGCTGTGCTTCCTGTTACTACTTCATCCTAACAGGCAGTATTGCATTTGGCAGTAAAAGCTTCTCTTGTCTTCTCCTGGCCTTGCAGATTCTGATTTGAGGTTAATATTTACATGCAATAACTCTTTAAGCTGAATCATGTACTTGCAGGGACAAAGAAGGAGCACAAGCTGTGAAAAGGACAAAGTATTACACTTCTGAGCAGATGTTTAGCTTATCTGCCTCTGAGTTTTTAGGTGTCCCTAACCTCTTCTCAGATAATCTCTCATCAACATTGAGACATTTATCTTTGTCTGCTAAGGGGAAAAAAGCCTGTCTGTTGAGGTTACTGTTCAGTCCTTACTCCCATGACAGGCTACAGCCATAACTAAGATTCTCAATTCCCTTGTGCACAGGATAAAAACATAATCATTAAGGGTATCCATTGTATTGCCACCCCTTGCTCAAATAGAGGATATTGGTAAAAGCATCACTAAAGGAAACTAAATGTTGCTCAACAAAATTGTTTGGCATGTTCTTCCAAGTCTTGCTAAGAAACAGGTATTTCAAGGATGACTTGTCATTCCTGACAGCTCTCCCTGTGGAGAGTTCAGAGAAAACACCAAAAGCACAGTATGCCAAAAGTTATAAGACCGGGCTTTCCTAAGGTAGTCATGTGGAAATGAAGTACAGTGCTTGAATTGAGAGTGCTGACTTGAGGCAGCATGTAACAGTCATGCTTCAAGCACTGTGTGTTAAGGGCCTGACATGGTCTTTCCCTAAGGAGGAATCCTCTCATTCTCCAAAGGAGAGTCCCTGTAGAAAAGGAGGAAGATTCTACTAGTGGTCTCTTAACAAGACTTTTCTGGAGTAAACTGAAAAGTGGGTGAGAAAAATGTGTATGGTATGTACCTACTGATACAGCCATGAGTTTGGGGCACTTCTCCCAAGGTGTAAATCTGTAGTCTTTAGGCTTTTGAAACAGTGCATTTAGCATAGTAGTTAAGATGGATCATACAGTTGCATAGTGAGTAATTAAGGTGTGGTGATAGCAATGGACTCATCTACTGGGAGCAGAATAAAACTGCTTTAATTCAACAGTGCTGACATAATTGCTGTGGAAATGTTCTTGTTCTTTACTGTGGCAATATGTCTGAAGGCATGACTGTCCTTGCATCCTTGCATAAAAGCACATGCATCTCTAATCCTGTCATATTTGCTGGCTGACTCTTTTGAGATGAACTCAAAATTGAAGTTTAATAGAATAATGCTTTACACCTTCAGCCGGAGTAAGGAAATACTAAGAAACTGAGAGCTTTGAAAGGAAGTCTCTAAGCAATAGCAAGATCTACAAACAGAAGATTTTAACTTCATTTTAGTTACTTGCGTGTAGAGCACACCAGAACTTTCCATTAAGACAAACTGAAGTGTTCGTCAGACCTTGCTAAGCTTTGGCTTAGGTCTGAAGCACAGAATCCATATTTAGTTGTGGTTGAGACTCCTTTATGGTCAGCAGACTAGAATACTGCTAGCTTAAGCTATGTAATGTTGCCCTCCCTATTCCAGTGAAATTTTAAGGTAAGGCCTGAGGCAGTTTTGTGCTAGTCTTGTGGCTTAACTCACATGTCAAGAAGTAGTTATTTAAAATATGACCAGATATTAAGATCAGCTTTGTCTGTCCTTGCATTCTTTAGTTTAACTAAGTCTCTTGCTCCTGAGATGATTCTCAGAGACATTGAGCTCTCCAGAGGTACAATGAGTAACTGTCACATACTGTGAACTCTCACCAGGGGAGATGAGCTGTGCCAGATCTCAAATATGAAAGTATGTCCTGTAAACTGGTCAGAAGCCTCTCACTAATCTAAAATTGAATTTCTAACACTGAAAATGACCTTTGTAGTAAGACAAGGTATTTGCAAGGGTTCAGCCAGACTTTTGTGTAACCCTGCCCGTCTTCTTCCATCTTAGGGTATTTTGCTGTGTGGTTCTAAGTGGTCTGGCTTCCCTAGGAAGGAGGCAGATGACAATGATGACTAGAGATGCCTAGAGCTTAAAGATGGCAGCTGCCCATATGGATATCTACCAACTTACAGGTGCCAAAGTAAGGTCTTGCTTGTGCATATTTGCTACTTCCTAAGTTATTTACTTGTTAATACCTCTTAACTTTGCTTCAACATGAGATACTGTAGTTGTGTAACACCAGAGCTGGGTGTAGCTCTACTTAATTAAATTGAGGAAGCAGGATCACTGACAGTCAGGACTCATTGCCTCGAGATTGCTGTTTCTTCTTTTCCAGCACAGAGCTGGGCAAAATATCCTAAAGCTATAACTCAGCTTCTTGACAGTAAGTCCTAGCTCTGCCTCTTCTGGGCCCTTTCCTTCTATTCTCTAAACAGCAACCTTCCAAATGGGGGTGGATAGTTAACTTCTGATCCAACCTTAACACTCTTTCCTTTATCTCTATTTCTGAAGGACTTGATAAATCTAGGGAGAGGCTCCTTATGCTTGTGTCTAAAGGCCATCTCCACCCAAAACTATACTATCAGGTAAACTAGTCTAGATTTAGAGTAGGCTTCATTTTACCTGATTAAAATGCAGTTTTCAATAGGTACAATCCATTTTAGCACTGTTGCAAGTATCCTGCAAAATCTCTGTTGGCTTTATTAAGCCCCTTGATCCTTTGTCAGAATGGGCACACAAGCCACTCTTTCAGTGATAACACTTCTTAAATAACCATGGCTTGCTATATAAACTCTTCCTCTGACACCTATTACTACTCAGAACCACTTGAAACTTTCACAGCAACACCTTTGCTCCCTTGCATCAAATGTACCCTAGCTGTGGCCAGATAAGTTGCTTTCAGAGAAGAATAGGTATAGCTGACAGATCTTGGCCATATGAGTGCTTTTATCTCTGTTGATTTACCTGAGCAATGCTAAATGCAATTCACAAACTATCTGTTAAGCAGCTAGATCAAATTTTGCTTATATTAACAGCCTAAAGACCTCTCTCCTGGTTAAATGAAAATGGAGGCTTTCAGAGTGAAATTCTCTCTTTAATATATTGGAATCTATGTTCTTCCTAGTTTAAGAATCAGTTAAGCATTGATATCCATTACTCAGTTAGTGGCAAGCTGGGTGAGTCAGTCTGTAGCTATTGACTTAGTAGTGAATTGAGGAAGAAGGGAAGGCAGGAGTGAGAGCAAAACCCTGAAAGTGAATTTCAATTATTGCATAAAGCACCAACTGTAACTAAGGCAAATGAGGAATAGGCTGTTGAGAATAACAAACTTCTAATGCAAGATGATTTACAATGCTCCAGCACTTGTATCTGCAAACACAGTGTGTCTCAAATGCTGGAGAAAAGCAGTGGCTTGATCTGTTGCCCCTTGCCTGGATATAAGGGGAATTAGAGGGTACCCCAACTACTTAATCAAATAAAAAATTTCTTGACTTCATTCGTTACTCTAAAAGTCAAGGGACTAACTGAAGCCATTGCAATATCCCAGAGAGAAGATTAATAGCTTGGTTTCTGTAGCAGGTCTGAATGTCTAGTTCTTTCTGGCTAGTATAGATGATCTTAATAACTCTACAAAGCCACTCTGTGTGGTAAGTCAAAGCCAATCTGTTTGGTAAGTGTGAATCAGTGCTTCAGCTGTGTAGGAACAAAATATGGTGACTGCAGATTATTTTCTAAATTTGTGTCTCAGAGGCAAAAGGGTTGCATGGCATAGAGTGGAGTCCATAGTTTCTTGTCAACTTGCATGATTTTTTTGAAAACCTGAAGGTTACTTGATTACTGTTAAGACAAGTGGAGGGGGGGTGGTTTGCGGTTTTGTTGTGTTTTTCCTGGAACAGTCTGTCTACAACCTAAGGAAATTATTTGTTTTTACCTGTTGGGTGTTATAACCTCAGACTTCTGCTAATTATAGAAAAATGAATATCTGCTTGCTTCTTTTGGGTGCTTTGGTGTCATCTTCATGGGTGTTTGGAACAGATCCTAGCAAATCTTTCTTGCATTCTCAAATATTCTACTTCAGAGATGCAACTGAAGAAGAATAGAGCAGTGCTGGAGAAGAATAGAGCAAAATATCTGAGGCTCTATAAATAGATTTAAAGGGTAAAAAAAGCTAAAGGTTGACAGATTAAACAGGTAGATGTAAATACAGCCTGCTGATGTAGGTCTGTGTGATCCACTGTCTAGGTATTACTGAGGTGAGGGTCCATCACTTAGTGGCCATAACTTTGTGGTCTCTGTAGCCTGACGTGTCAAGGCTTCCTATATGATCACCATAATGCTTTCAGGCCTTAGCAAACTAACTAATAGGTCTAATAAGAATATTTATTCTTCAAGGTAAAATATAATGTCTGCCTACTAATAGTTATTTGCATTTTTTAAAACTACAGAAAACATAACTGGCCACCATTTCATCATGTCTACTGAAGCTGAAACAACTACCACCACGACCACCAACAGCCAGCCTGAACAACAGGTTCCACCAAAAGCACAATCCTCAAAGAAGGAAAAAAAGAAAGGTAAGTAGTGCTCACCTCTTGAAAATCTCCTCTATTTAGTGTCCTTAATCTTTTACATTTGCCTAAACCAAGATCACTCTATCACTATAGCTAAATCCACTCTGAGGTTTCAAGCTGACTAGAAGAGTGAGTAAATAAGCTAGTATAATGAACCTAACCAGAAGGTAGGCTTTTAGTTTTAAAAGTTTTTTCTAACCTTAAGTTCTAAAGCTCTCAGTTCCATTTGTTAAATGAGTCATTTGCTGAGCCTGAGAAGTTAACAAAAGCCCAGAGTCATGAAAGCCTCCTGGGGAAGTGACCAGACCCTGGACCATCAAGGTCAGTCTGAACCTGAACTTGACTCCTCCACTCCCTCCAGAGAGAGGGGTTTGTGCTGGATGCAGATTCTAGTCCAGAGAAGCTAGAAAACTCATTCCATGAAAATTATTGTAGATCAGATAATATATTTTGATAGATTAGATCATGTAAAGATAATTACCTCCTATAAAAATACATACCTAGGTACACACTTGAAGTATGTTGGGCATACAGAGAAGAAAAGCAAGCAGTTCCTGCTAGCAGGAACAGCAGAAATAACAAATTAGCTAAAATCCCAAGGGATTAGATTGACAGGAGTATCAGGACTTGTTGTAGACAAATGATGGTGCTAATAGAAAGTTCTAGTGTGGGAACTAGGAGATTGTTCTTGCACACCAAGGAGAAATCTGCCTACACCAGAACAAGGAGATAATACCTGAAGGCTTTCTTGAACATCCTGTATGGTCATGGGAAGAACCATTTCTGCTTCTTGTTTTTTCTTAACATCTATATCTACTTGGCTGTTGCCTACAAATATTTTAGTCTTTTAAATAATGAACAGTTGTTCTGAATCTCTCAGATATTAAGCACTGGGCTCTTTGAACTGAGCCATATTCTGCAAGAGCACTGTGACCTTAAAGGAATAACCATCTTGTAGCGCACACAGGACTGAAAGGGGTAAGGGTTAGTCAGCTGTACTCTAGGGAATGTTTTAGTATGTACTTATATGGTATATATTTTTTAAAGATCTCAAATCCACAGCATAGAGTTATCTCTTAACAAAGATAAAAACCAACTTTAAAACAAACAAACAGACCCACTAGACCTCTTCTCTGTCTCCAGGGCCGGAAAAGACAGATGAATCTCTCTTGGCTAGATTCAAAGGTGATGGTGTAAGATACAAAGCTAAACTGATTGGCATTGATGATGTCCCAGAAGCAAGAGGAGACAAAATGAGTCAGGATTCAATGATGAAACTGAAGGTAAGGGCTTGAGCTGTCACCTAAGGAACCTGCTCCAGTTAGCTTTCAAAAGGCTAAGGTCACTTTGTCACAATTTTAAATACAGTTTAATGGTAACATAGTTATAACAGCACCATCCTAGATGGATGTTATTTCTAAAACTGTAATCCCTGTCTCAAAGAACAATATTTCTCCAATAGCTCGGGAATACTCCTTTGGTTCTGTAGGCATCCAGTGTGAATGCTAGTAGCATGTATTTGATCACAAATGGTTAGCTTGGATTTTGGATGGGGATAAGGGGTATGCTGTGCAATTTAACACTGACCTCAAAGCACAAATTGGCATTCTGTGTCAATGGTGACACCAAGAGATACAGATAAACGAAAAAAATAAATGAAACCCTGCAGCAACAAAGACTATTATTTCTGGAGTGTGGAACACTCACATACCTTCAAAGCAGGCCAGAAAAGCAGGTAAAGATGCTGCCACTGCAGCAGTTTTGTGAACTAAAATAAGTTTTAAAGCTCTAAAATGCTTATAAAGGAGACTAGTCCTGAGTATTACTTCAAACCTATGCAGGCATATGTTGCATGAGGAATGCTGCTCTAACTCTACAGTTGCATGGGAATAACTGGATTAGCACTAATATGGTCACAACCATAGGCCCATGAGGAGTACAAGGGAACAAGTTAAAGCTCCATCTACAGAAGTCTCATCAATATTTTGGTACTCATCCTCTTTAGGGAATGGCAGTGGCAGCCCGTTCCCAGGGTCAACACAAACAGAAGATCTGGGTAAACATCTCCCTCTCTGGTATCAAGATAATAGATGAGAAAACTGGGGTAAGATATAACACATTTTCTCAATGTGATTCTTAAAACAAGTGAGATACTTGGAAGTTAGACCAATCTGAACTAGATTCCTCAGTGGCACTGTGCCCCACTTCCACATATAAAAATTGGCTTGTGAAGTGGGTTGTAATGCTAAAGCCTCCTGCCAGAAAGAAAGCTACATCCTATTGTGGTTAGTGAAAGGGTGGCAAACCTGAATCTTGAACTGAAGCCTTTTGAGAGTCTCAATCATTTTAACTACAGAGAATAGCAGCTGTTGTGTCTCCTGCAATTTAAACCAATAGTTATTTTTTTCCCAATTCTAGGTTATAGAGCATGAGCATCCAGTAAACAAAATCTCCTTTATTGCTCGGGATGTAACAGACAATCGTGCCTTTGGTTATATATGTGGAGGGGAAGGCCAGCACCAATTTTTTGCCATAAAAACGGCACAACAGGTATGGATCAGACACCCTCTTCCATTTGCTATGAACAATGGCATTGTGTAAACATTTAATATGTGACAAGGGCGTAGTGTTTTGCTGGTAATCCTACAAAATTCCTATGGGGAATACCAGCACAGATGGAGAGGAGGACCATAGGAATGGATCGTATTGTCACCGGCTTCTGTCTTGTACAGCTTCTTTGTAGTCCAAAATAAAAACGCTCAAGCAGTCTTGCTTACTCTGACTAACAATGCTTAATTTGTCCATGCAACATGCAAGTCATTAGTGAGATGAGCATTTCTCAGTGAGAATGCTAATTCTTGAGTAAAAGAGCCATAGCTTCAATCAGAATTAACAGGAATATAGAACTGCACTAGTCTAGCTCTTGTGATGCTTTGTCTTGTGCAGCGGAGAAATCACTTACTCAATTGCAAGAGTGATTCTGCAGCCAGTGAATGGCAGGCCTGGTCCTCCTACAGTTGTGTCCGTGAGGGATTCAGATCCTTCTGTGATAGATTCCTCCCATGGAAAATTCCTGAGTGCAAGGTTTCTCTTGAAAGAAGAGTAGGAGATTCTGTACATAAAGAGTAGTGCAGACAAGCTAGTTAAATACTTCTGAGAATTACGTAACATCATAAACAACCTGCAGTTAGGCATTTATTATTTATTAGCTTGTCATTATATTGTTTTTATAACAGTCACTATAATGATGAATCAAGACTTCAAAGCTAGAAATTTCTTTTACACATCCCTGTCTGCCCTCCTGGAGAACCTGTTGGCAGCTTCAGACCCACTACAAGTGGGACTGAGGGGCTCCTTGTTGTAGCATGTTATTATTTCATTAGCAAATATAGAGGACCCTCTCCTAAGTCTGTTTCATTAGTTTGTACTGGTTTCACTGGAATTGTAGATTAAGTACAAAAGCCTTTTGTATGTACTCTGTAGTCTGTTCCCTCATTTCACCATGGGGTGCTGCTTGCCAGCCTCTAAGCTCAGCCAACCTGTAGACAGCTCTCGACTTGCTGCTAGTTGTTTTTGACACAAACTTTTCTAGCTGAGAAATAAGGACTTCTGCAGCACTAGTCTGCTGCAGCTGTACTCTTTGTTAAAGCTGATAACTTTTTAAATGGCTCTTCCTGCAGTTGCTTGTCTAAAACCCTTGATTTAGGAGAGGATGGTGTGCAGATGTAAACAGTGAGATCTGTTCAATGGATTCTCTGCTTGAGCCAATGGTAGTGGCTGAAGAGGGGGACCTGTCCTACTCTAGATGTTGACACAGCTGCTGTATGCCTAAACCAAAAGTTCCAAAGCAGTACAGCTGAACCTGCCACCCTTTCAGCAACAACATTCTTATTAATGGATTTGCAGGGAAATCCATGCTTTCTAACTCACATTAAACTGTTATCATGACACAGATCCCATTTAAAGCTGGTCTTTGCTTTACACACTTGAGGTGACAATAATCTTGCCTTATGCTGGCCTTGCTAATTTTCTATTTGTATGCTTTTTAAAATAAATGTAGTGTTACCTATAGAAGCTTTCTCTAGGTTCAGTGCTAGAGTTTGTAAAAAAGAGACATATGCAAAATGTTTTTCCTCTCAAGAGACTGCCAGAAGACTTGGATAAATTTTTGCATTTCTAGGACCTGCCACGAACTCCTGAAGTATTGCACTCCAAGCTTTTTAGCAAAAACATAGCAGGCTTAGCACAAATACAGCCACTTTTCTTGTGGAGTTAACTGTTCTAAACTGGTTGTACTCCATTCCCCTTAGATTCTGCATAAGCTTTCTTGAATAAAGACTAAAAAGGCCTTTAAACTCTTGCTTTTCCTGTTATCTCAACCTAACTCTTGCACCATTTAGGAAAGTTTGGCTTGCAGCACAGATTTCTTCAGTAGAAGTACAGGGGAAAGTAGTACATGGCCTAAAATCTATATTTTTTTCAGGCTGAGCCTCTAGTTGTTGATCTTAAGGATCTCTTCCAACTAATATATAATATGAAGAAGAAAGAAGAAGAAAATAAAAAGGTGAGCAAAAATATAGCACCAGCATTACTCTGAATAGAAAGAAAACTTTCTTCAATTTTTCTGAGTTTTGGGCTCTTGTAAGATTTGACACTGAGGTCTGTCTAAACCCAGGAATACTTGAATTTATTGGTTGCTATTTGTACCAGCAGTCTGATTACCTGGGTCTGGTAACCTCCTCTAAAGTGAAAGACTTTTGATATTCTACATGATATCTTAGTACTAAAAGCCTTCTTTTTTTCTTTAGAGTGAAGAAGCAAGTAAGACTGAGGTAAGTCACTCCAACTCAGCCTCTCTTGATTAGGTATGCTGCTGCAACACAACTAGCTTTGACTTTCTTTACACTATCAGAATTATGGAGGCAATATCAGATACCTAATTACATTGAAATGGGACTAAAAGGGTTGTATGGAACTGAGTAGTCATCTCCTTTGTGCTTCCTCTTTCCATCACTTGCTCTTTAAAACCTGCAAGTCCCTTGCTTGAGGCTGGTTTTGATAATTTTGCTGACACTTATATCCATCTATTACAGAACGGTGGTGAAGCTGATCAAACTGAAAAAATGAAACTGGTAGGTTAAATTATAGAACTTTATGCTGATGCCATTAAGGAGTTCATTACTGGCTGTCTCCATATTGTGTGGGAAATGCAGTATTTTTAGATGCATGTACAGTAAATCTGCATAATGCTTGATTCTTGCTCTTGTAAGAGCTCTAACAGATACCAATTCTTTCAATATTTCTGGCCTCAGGTAGTTGACCAGATGGACTTGTTTGGGGATATGTCAACACCTCCTGATATGAGCAGTCCCACAGTAAGTAGAGTCTAGATTTACTGTCTTGGCTTTTGCTTTGAAAGCAAACGTAGTCCTAGTAATAAGTAATGATTTTACAGAGACATCTCTCTAGTGATCATTAGTGTATTAGGGGGGTAGGGCTATAGAAGTACTCACTTACTAACTAGAGTAATTAACATTATTCTAGTAGGTCTAGCTCAGAATTTGGCCTAATTGCACGAAAGTGTGCATAAAACTTGTCATACCACAGTATGGTCCAAAAATCCTATCACTTTCAATCCTGCACTGTAAGCCACCATCAGCCATGACACAGCTGGTGCTGTCAAACCAGCTATAGAGACCAAGTCTTACCCTTCTACTGCGTGCTTGGTGGAGAATTAACATATTTCACTGGCAAGTAGCTCTACAATCTTATTCTGAAATTGAGACTGCAACTTGAAGTCACACTAAGACTGTGTGATTTCACAACTTATCAAAACTAAGAACTAGATTTCAAACAGGGGTTCTTGACTCAAGTGAAAGCCTAGGCATAATTAGTGCTTAATGACCTTACATTTACTAGACTGAAGAACAAGTATCTGATATTTAACTATGGGATCTGTAAAAAGGTGCTTTCAGTACCGGGTTTCAGAAAGCAAGTAGCTGTGATTTGACTACAGACAGCAGGGCCTGCCTGTGTGACTTTGAATATTTACTAGTATAATGTATTGGATGCTAAAATGTCTTCTTTTGCAACTATTTTCCTTGAGCTTTTGCACCGTGCAGCAAATCCTACATAAAACTAACCTTATTTTTCTCTCTGAACAAATAGGAAGCTAAAGAGATTCTGTTAGTGGATCTTAATTCTGAAATTGAGACCAAACAAACTTTTGCAAAAGAGGATCTCTTCTTGAATGGCATCACAGCCTCTCTTCCACAACCAAAGGCACAGCCACCCCTCTTGCCTGAGAGTTCTTTCTCTGCCAATCTCAGCTTCTTTCCCACACCTAATCCAGACCCTTTCAGTGATGATCCTTTCACGCAGCCAGACCAATCTGCACCGCCTTCGTTTGATTCTCTAACACCTGATCAGAAGAAGGAAAATCTGAGTCCCTTGGCATCGGTGGGTAATGGTGCTTCAAATGGTAATGCTGACTACTTTGGTAAACAGTTTGACCAGATTTCTAATAGAACTGGCAAACGAGAAGCACTAACAAGCCAGTGGCCGCTTGAGAATAAGTCTCCTGCAGCAAGAACTCCAGATGAGGTACCAGAGAGAGAACCAGACTTTCTTAAAGTCCCACCAAACCAGTTTGTGAACTGTCCTTCTGAAAGATTATCTCTGCAGAATGGAGTAAAGCTGGATTCTGAAAACAATATCCATTTCATGACACATGAGTCTATAACAATTAGCCCACCACCACAGAGTACCAAACCGGGAAGAGGAAGGAGGTCTGTTAAGGTGAACAATGTTCGAGTAATTTATGGTGATATGCATGCTTTTACTTGGAGAAGCTGGGTGAAGGAAGCTTTTCTTTCTTCATACTGTGTAACTGGTTAAATAGCTTCACAGTACATCTGTTTCTCTTCTGCCTGCCACGCTTACTCGAACCTCTCTGCAGCCGTAGTACCTTTTAATATTCATGAATGCTTCATAGTATCTATGGTCACTAAATTCTATACTCTCTTCCTTAATGCTGCCATACTTCTGTAAAGGTCTGGTAAGTATGCTGTTAAGCATATTCACACTTGATATAATGCCTGAACCCTTTATGACAGCAGTATGCCATTAACCTATGGTTTCATAACAGTGAGCTACTAGTATCAACTTACAGATCAATGTACCTTCTGAGTATTTGCCTCTTGAGGACAATCTAAGTGACTTGTCCAATTAGACACAGGGGTCAGCTTCGTTTGTCTTGTACTAAAATGATGCAAAACTCAATTGCTGGCCTTGCCACAGCTGTAGGGGTCACTGCAGACCGAGCAATAGTATTTAAAGGGGTGGGGTGCAGAAGGGAGCTTATTATGATAGCAAATAATTCAGTCATTTCAAGTCCTACTCTTCTGCTGTGACTTCTGTCTACTATATATTATACCTAATTAATGCAATATATGTCCATAGGCATGGACAAAATAGTGATGTTTGAAACTCTTATACTTGGTGTCTAAATGATACATCAAAGCTCCCTGCTCTGCTTTAGATGAAATAAAAGCTTGTAGCTCTGGGCTAGGCAGCCTTGATCGTGCTACATATGTTCTGCTGTGGCATCTCACAAAAACTTTTTTTCTTCCTAGACTGCACCGAATGACTTATTCAGCTCAGACTTCTTTTTGCCAACTACAGAGAGGCTTAGCTTGAGCTCAATGCCACAAACAGGACCTGCATTAACTAATTCACTGGATGTCTTCACAGCACATTCATTGACTTCTCTAGGTTAGTTTACAAAGTGAAGGTTTTGCTTCAGTCTGAGCTATCTGTTAACATCAAAACAGGGGTTCTAGTTTTTAATTTATTTCTTGTATAGTGCTGTATCCTCTAATCCTTTAATCTGGCCTAAACTATTTAATTCTGTGAATAGAGGCCTAAACTCTGAATTCTTAACTGGATCAGGGGTTTTTGCTGTGACAGTAGTTTGCTGCTTCAGGTACACAAGCCAAGCAAAACTTGTAAGGCCAGAGTAATGTTGCTGCAGAGTCTTAATAATAATTTACACAGAAGTAACTATGCGGCAAATGCACCTGTCACTTCTGTGCTAGTACTAAGTATGTTCCTCCTTCTGTTATGTCAACCTCAATTTTGTTCTTCCAGCATTGAAATGCAGCAAAGTAAAAAATTAACCCTCTTCTCCCACCCCCACTTCTCCCTGAATGGTTTGATTTGTAAGTGTAAGCCAAGAGATTTTTGCAAACAGTACATGAAAATGTTTTGCTGGTACCCTCTGTGGAATTCACACTCCTGCTTGTGGTCTTCAGATGACTGAAGTGTTGTGTAACAACAATCTCCCCCCAGGTGGCTTGCCAGTAAGTTCATCACCATGGACTACACAGACACCTTCCTTCACTCAGACTACATCATCAGTCTTTCCTGGGTCTATGATAAGTGCTCAGTCTACAGGATTTACTCAACCACTTGCCTTCAATACTCAAGCAGTCTCAGGCTGGAACCAAGCTGCATCTTTTGGTCCAGCAGCCAATCAATCTTCTGGTCTCTGGCCACAGCCAACACAAATCCCATCTATTCCTTGGTCACAGCCATCCAGTGCTGCAAATCCCTTCCAGAGCAGTATGTTCACATTTTCAACGCTACCTGCTCCACCACCATCTGTACGGCCCTCCCTGTCAACAACAACCAGCCCACCTCAGCCACCACCCAGAACTCCACCACTGAAGGAGCCATCCAAGAAAGACAGTGATGCTTTCATTGGTCTGGATCCACTTGGAGATAAAGAGATGAAGGATATCAAGGAAATGTTCAAAGACTTCCAGCTGACAAAGCCACCTGCAGTACCAGCAAGGAGAGGAGAGCAGCAAAGCCTTTCAGGTGCTTCTGGAGCTTTCAGCAATTACTTTAGTTGTAAAGTAGGCATTCCTCAAGATAGTACAGACCATAATGATATGGAAGCTAGTGAGTTGTCTGCTAAAATGCCTGGTAACATTTTGAGGTTTTTTTTCCTTGTCTCCTCTCTTCTGGTTGGGTGGCTGCTCATAAAACCAAAAATTTGAGTTAAGGGTTACTGAAGCAGAGGGTTGAAGGACTGTCTCTACTAACAAATTGAAGGATTGATCAACTGCACTGGCTAAACACTGTCTCCTAGTGCCTAAACTACTTGACTAGAACGAAATGCACTTAAGTCTGTACACTGTTAGTATTTCCATCTAGCCTAGGTTTAGTGAGTGACAAGCAGGAGTTAAAACTGTGAGGTCCCTCAAAGCAAATTCCATATAAATTTTTTTGTGTTTCTAATTATATGAGTTTTGCTGTTGCTATACAGGCAGAGCTGAGTACTGGCTAAAGCTAAGTGATTTTAGCGGTATCTCTCTCTTTCTTAGAACCACCAAAGCCTGTTCCTCGACGAAGTGTGCTGCTGGCTGATGGTCTGTTTGAAAGTCAAGCTAAAAGAGATCTTTTCAGCCCCTCATCTGTAAGTAGTAAAAAAACCAAAACACCATGACCACAAAAACCCACATAGAACCTTTCTTTCTCCTTAATTACAGGGGTACCTATGTTTGAACACTGGCTTAGTTCTGGCTTTAGAGGCCTTACAACAAAAACATTTTGCATGTTTGAGGCTAATATGTAATTTAATAGGGAGCATTTGTTGCAAGAAGGCTAACAAAGTATTATTGCATTTGGCTTGGCTCAATAACCAGTTCCCCAAGCTGCAAGCACTAGCAGAAAGTTCTTCAGTATTGGGAGCTTCTACAAAAATGTATAAAATAACGTAGCTGCAGACATATTCCACTTTGGTTGTACTTACCTCTCTTTAGAGTAGACTGAGTAGTGTGGATTGTGCAACTCTCTAGCTGAACGTATGGGAGATTTCATGTTCAGTACTCCTTGGGTGAGGAAGTGGCTTCACCAAATTATTCCATTTGGGACACAGCACTTGAAGCCCCTGGTGGAAATTCTGGACCAACTCCAGAATACTGACTTTAGACTTCTAGCATTTGAGAGATCTCAATGTGACTCCCCTGTCTCAGCTCTAAAGGACTGTTCAGTCCTTTAGAGCCACACATGGCTTTTCTGAAAGATATTTTGCCTTTTACTGGGTTAACTGCTAAGACAGCTTAGAACCCTCTTCTCTTGTTAAAGCAGTACAGTTAATGTGTGTTTAACAGAGACTCTGAGGTATTCTTTCCAGGTGTTTGTAACATGAACTACCTGATAAATCCATGCATAGTAATCTGGTGAAACCTGGAAATCCACTAACAGCTTATTTCTCTTTCTTTAAAAGGAATCTCAGAAAATAAATTCTGATCCTTTTGGTGATAATTTTGGCAACCCGTTTGCATAGGTCAGGTAAGTCTTCCACTAGTAAAACAACTTACATCACTCTCTGAAATTGATTGAGGAAATCTTTGGTAAAGAGCTGGCTAAAACTACAGTACTTTAACACTAATGCTCTCTGAAGTATGACAAACAGTCCCTAAAAGAACAAGTCTGCTAGAGTACCTGTACTCAGACTTGTACATAGCTGCATTTTGTCTAAGCCTAGCCAGCTTTGCTTTCTTAGAAATAAAGACTTTATTCTTCCACAGACTTAAATCTCAATGCCACAGTAGATCTAGATTTCCTTTCCTTGAGGAAAGTTAATGAGTAAATATGTGCTGCAGAACTCAAAGGGGCTGACTTGCTTCTACAGAGATCTGAAGGTAGTATGTTGGCATACATGTTAGCATTGCCCTATACATCTTTCTGAAGTTCAATCACCTAAATAATTGCAGGTTTGGACTCTGGGTGAATTGGAGTAAAATTAGAATAAGGCTGTGATAGCCTTACTCTGATTTTAATCAAAAGCTGTTAGAAGAGCTTTTGATACTAGAAACTAATTCTAGCTTTTACACCATTGGCTAGAGAACATGAACTGTTGATCCAGCAAATCTATTACTCTTCCATACTGTCTTCCCTTGAAATACTGTCTAGCTTTTGACAGAAGACAAATGTTGGTATTTATTGCTTTAGTTTTGTTCTCAGTGGCTCTAAGCTAGTTTAAGGAATAAGGCTATAGCTTACAGCCATCCTAACGCTAATTCCTTTCCATCATGCTAGGTGTAACCAGAAAAGGACAAATGGAATAACTGGACCTCTTCTCAACATGATTTTTCTACGTTTTTCACTTTACTGTCTGTCACTCTTGCTGCTGTTCCACGATGTCTGCAATCTAAAGCATATCCAGGGGGATTGAAGCATGAACACTCAAAGAACATGCTGTGAAGATGATAATTCAGGGCAAAGCAAATGGGGATATTGACTCACGCTGGAAACCCAAATTCATATTGGTGGATGTTAACTTTACTTTAGTTCTTTGCAATCTTCTGTAGAAGAGCTTAACAGCACTAAGTCGTGTCTTGTAAATATGATCACCATTTTTCTTTTATGTAGCACTTACTGTCCCAAAATATAGGAACTTAATGTACCTGGGGAAGAGGTGTTACCTTCACCTAAGTGTACTGAATTAGTAGCTAAAACTCCACACCTTAAACAGCTAGGTCTGTTGCCTGTTATCACAGCAGCACCCAGCTGTAACGTTAAGTGGATGCTACTCAGTTCTAATTGGTGACTGGGCACATTACTTGGTCTCTGAGCCACAAAAATTTAACTGTATGTAGAGGAAAAGAGTCTAATACTAGTCTATTTCACTAAAAGTAAAATTATCATTCTGCCATAAATGTTTAATAAAGGGACTGCGGGGTCTGTAACAGCACTGCTGAAGCCCTGAGTACTAGAGGCCTACACTGTAGATTCAGATAAGCAGAAAAACTTCTTCTTGCAGAACTTTGAGCTAGTTGTGGACACTAACAGTTATCTTGGTGCTAATATGGCATTTTTCAGGGAGGGAAATCTACTAAGATTACTTTATTATTAAGGTGGCTTGGCAGACAAATGGAACAAGCAGGTAGGCTTCTTGCTTATGTTTCAGTAAATGTTGCTGATGTCGCTCAGTTTGAGTTGTCGCATGGTGTAGTGTAGCATGTTTCCATTATGTTAGAAAGCAAAAAGACAATAATGGCTTCACTCCATGCCTAGACTCCTTGAGAACAGGTGCACCACCTCTTGCCATTAATGTGAGGTAATACTCTTGAAAAACATGTCTTTCCTCAAGAACCTCTTTACTTACAGATTTAAATCAGTTAGTTACAACTGACTGTAACAGTTACATTCTTGGCCAGTGGTGATGACTGATGTGTCAGAGGATTTTCTGTTAATACAAAGTATAAACTTGAAATGGTATTGTTAAATCAAATGCCTAAGCAGTTGCTGAACTGCAGAGCTAAGAAAGTCAACTTGAATACAGCCTTAGTACCCAATTCAGCCATTCTCCTAATTAGTCTTGTATATAAACCTCTCTTGCACTTTCAGCAAATGCAAAAAAAAAAAAAAAAAAAAAAAGGCACAAATTTAAGAATTTGTCTCAAACTGGAAACGTAGAAACTTATGGATGTTACATCGTTATACAAAACTGTAGTATCTCAAGTGATGTTACCTAATGACATTAAACAGAAGCAACTCTTCATACCAAATGAACATGTGGCTGTTTATTCTGTCCTCTATAGCTCAGTCTTGTGGTGTATTTGACACTGGGAGTTCAGAGCCTGCTAAGAACTGTTCCTCACAGGTTCGATAGCTGTCTGATGGCAGCGTCTTTCTCCAACTTACCTGCATTGGACCTGTTCAACAAATGCCATGCCACATTAAAAAATGAAATCTCCAACTGATTTAGTAAACTGTCATTAGAACCTTGTTCCATTAGCTGCTCAGCCTGAGCAGCTTTCTAAAGATGATTTCTTGCTCCTTTCTTTAGGACCATGGAATCTGGGTACTTAAATTGCATTGCGTTCAGAAGTTTCATTAATTCAGCCTGCGTTATCCAACTTTGCAGGAGATCTAAACTGATGCTGGGAAAACCTAATTTAGAACATGTAACTTATGTTCAATGAATACAACTCCTTTAATAGATATGGTGATTAAAAGATAAATCCACTAGGAAGCCATTGTTTTAGATTAGCTTTCTTATTTTTAACACTGTTTGATGATTAAGGGTTGAAAACAACTCATTGCGAGGGAGTTGATGCCCAGCTTGAAATATAGGTCTTAAGGGGTTTTACACAGAATCAGATTTTTAATTATTATCTTTTTTTTCCTTGACTGCATGGCAACATGTAACTTAGTTCCATTAAAAATAAAAAGACAATTGGCTGTCTTAGTGTCTGTGTGAAGGAGTATGTTTACCAGCAGCTGAGTTAAAATTCTAAATCACTGTTTGCTGGTCAAGGAAAAGTTTACAGTCCTACTGAATTTTGAAATGGCTCCCAGGATGATCACTCAGAGCTTGTTAGCAGGACCTCTTAAAGCTGGCCAAAGATGTTTGCTGGTCTGCTAGCCTACTTTGAATAGCTGTTTACTCTGAATCTCTGTCCTAAAGAACCATGAACTGTGATAGCAGGTATGATGAAACAATACCGTATTACAAGTGTCTGTCTCTTGCATTCTTGCCTAACAAATGAGTTAAGTGCAACTGGACTCATCAGGCTGGACTGGAGCTGCAGCAGATTTAAGTTCCTTTTAATGAAATTGTCCCAAATCAAGGCTTGAATAGGGAAAAAATTGTCCTGCCCTATCTCAGACACTCCCTCCTCCCTGCCACAAAAAGCAGAGAACAGAAAATATTAAAAGTACACTTTTTTTTTTTAATTACCCATGATAATTTGGAATGTCCTTATACTGGATGATTGGTTTAAGCTTGCCTCCAGATACTCAGTTCTTAACAGCTAAACAGCAGGTTATTTATGAGTGACTTGTGTCTTGTGACTGTGTCCAACACATGATGCCTTAAATCTGGATTACAGCAAAGTACTCAAAAGGAATGCCCTTCTAAAGAGCTAGCTTGTGGTTTGGATGTTAGTGACAGAGTAAAAGCTAGAAGAGTTTTAGTCTCCTTCAAAACCACAAAAAATGGTGTGTTGTTCTTTTATATTGGCTAGGGGAAGAATAAAAAAAGAATCTTGGGACTTTAATCCTCCATTACTCCAAATGAGGATTCCAAAGATGTTAGACAGTAAACTTGCTCTTGTAAACAGCTCTGCTTTAGGAACTGTTTGTTCCTTATGTGACTCACTGCTATGACAGTGTTTTTACTAGGCAGTTAATGGTTCTCTAATTCAATACATAATGTCTTCCCTATATTAGAAAGATACTATTAAACAAAACTGGTTTATTTTAATCTTTAAACTACTCCACAGTATTTCCCAGTCCCTATTCAGAGGAAAAAGTGGAATTTTCTGAAAAATGGACTTTAGAGCATTTACCGTAAAGCAGTTTTGGCCTGTTACTGGCATTCTTCAGTAAACACTGCTTTTTGTTTGTTCTCTTGGTAATAAATAACAAAAGGAACAAATAAATAAATTACAAATTCGGTCATGGCTATTCTAGTCTATTCAGCTACAAAATGAGAATCATGCGTGTTATCCTGCAGTTTATATCCATACTATGCAACTTAGAGATGATTGCCTCACTTTTGGGGGAAAGCAGAAGGTAAGTGTTCTTTTTCTTCTGCAGCTGTCTCTACTGTTTTCTTTCTCTTAACACAGAGTATAAACATCCAATGCAGACATTTCTTGTGGCAGCTTGCTTAGATACCCTATGAAAAAGCAAACTACTTCTTGCTGTATTTCAAGGAGTTAAATAGCAATGCTGTATCCATTTATTCTGGATGTATGTGGCACAATAAAGGTAACTGGTAGCAATTGAAGCCATATTCTTCGAGGGTCGTGAAGCTCAGGCACCTGTTTTCTGTTGCACACTGAGTGTTAAAATACTTAATATATTTCTTTCTGAAGATGCACAATTTTATGCTGGCAGTACTTCTCTTACTATTTAAAGTCTGCCTATTTCTAATCTTTGGAAATATAGCCTTTGTGTTTTCTCTGCAAGTATCACTAGGAAGTGAACGAAGGCTTAGTCCCTACAAAATGATCACGTGAAAACAACTAGAGCGCTACTCTGTCAGAAATGTCTATATGTCATTTACTAGAATGGGTAATATGAATGATGAAAAAAATGTAACTATTATGTTGGAACAACTCCAGAGGGCCACAAAGTCAATAAGAGGACTGGAGCACCTCCCCTAAAAAGACAGACTAAGAAAGTTGGGGTTGTTCAGCCTGGAGAAGAGAAGGTTGTGAAGAGACCTCATAGCAACATTCCCGTGTCTGAAGGGAGCTTGCAGGGAAGCTGGAGAGTGACTTTTCAGCAGAAACTGTAATGATAAGACAAGGAGTAATGGGTACACGCTGAAAGAGGGGAAATTTAGGCTAGGGACCTTAAAGGTCATCTAGTCCTAACCACCCCTGTCATGTGCAGAGACACCTCCCTCTAGACCAGGTTGCTCAGAGTTCCATGCACCCTGAGCTTGAACACCTCAAGGAATAGGGCATCCTCAACCTCCCTGAGCAACCTGTTGCAGTGTCTCACCATCCCCACAGTAAGAATTTTTTTTGAATATCTAATATGAACCTACTCTCTTTTAATCCACTCCCCCTTGTCCTGTCCCTACAGGCTCTTGTAAAAGTTCCTCTCCATCTTTCTTGTAGGCTCCCATCAGGTACCGGAAGGCCGCAGTTAGGTCACCCCTAAGCTGTCTCTTTCCAGGCTGTACTATTCCAATTCTCTCAACCTTTCCTCATAGGAGAGGTGCTCCATCCCTCTAATCATCTTAGTGGCCTCTGCACTTGCTCCAACAGGTCCATATCCTTCCTGTGCTGGGGACCCCAGAACTGGATGCAGCACTCCAAGTGGGGTCTCACCAGAGCAGAGCTAAGGGGAAGAATCCCCTCCTTCACCTGCTGCCCACAATGCTTTGGATGCAGCCCAGGATGTTTGACTTTCTGGGTTGTGAGTGCACATGGCCAGTTCATGTCCAACCTCTCATCCACCAGTGCTCCCAAGTCTTTCTCTCCAGGGCTGCTCTCAGTCTGTTCATCCCCCAGCCTGTGTTGGTACTGGGGATTACCTTAACCCAGGTGCAGTGCCTTGTACTTGGTCATGTTGAACTTCATGACATTTCCATGGACCCACTTTTCGAGCTTGTCCAGGTCCCTCTGGATGGCATCCTATCCTTCAGGTGTGTCAACAGCATCACTCCGCTTGGTGTCATCTGCAAACTTGCTGAGGGTGCACTTTACCTCACTGTCTATTCATTAAAATATTAAATATCTATAAATATATATAATAAATATATATAATGACCATGTTAAATAGCACTGTACGGACCCCTGAGGTACACCACTTGTCACTGAGCCATTGACCACACCCCTCTGGATGCAACCGCCCCAACTACTTCCTTATCCATCTAACAGCCCACCCATTGAAACCATCTATCTCCAATTTAGAGAGAAGGAAGTTGTGGGGGACTGTGTCAAAGGCTTTACAGAAATCTAGATATATGACATATGTAGCCTTGTCCACTGATGTAGTCACCCCATTGTAGAAGGCCACTAGGTTGCTCAGGCATTTGCTTCTTACGTTTTGATGTTTATTATTATTTTGCATTCAGATCCAATTAAAGCACAGGATTGATATGTTCATTTAGAAACAGTCCTGCCAGAAGATACAATTATTACAGGGCATCCATAGCAGGCAACTTTGGCCAGCAGCTTGGCTTCCCAGTGTACCAAAGACTGTGCAGTTTGATGGTGGTGCTAGAACTACAGTTGGCAAAGGTTATGCCCTCATGTGATGCTATCATGTCTCCAAATTCAAGAGAGCCATGCCTTCTCTCTTGGTCAGAGATAATTAAGAAACCAAGGCTTTTTCTTCAGTCTTCACTTTTGTCGCTGATGAACTCAACAGTCCTCTATTTTGAAGTATGGCTCAACAATAAATCACCAGAGCTCTGTGGCCTGAGGCTGTACAGAGTGTATTGTGCAATCCAAGACAAGGTGCAAACAATTCTGTGTTCTGAGTGTGAAACGGCTTTTGCTTTCCAAAGAGTACCCTCCTGTCCCTCAAACCTCTCAGTAAAGGATTGCAGGGAATGTATTTTGATTTCCTTGCTTGTCTGCAAAGTTCTTGCTTTCAGCTGTCACCTTCAGTGAAGTTCAGAAATATGTTTCACTATAAACTTCTCTAGTGCCTGAATACATGATAATCACTAGGAACAAGACGTACATCTGCCTTTGGAAATCCTCTTAGATGTCTCAATATATCTTTAAGGAACCTGTCAGTCTTCAACCTGAGGTGCCGGAATACCTGTTGTTACTCAGAGGTTTGCAGTCCTACATCAGTAAGGAGATGAAAAGGTCATATATGAAGGCATCTCACAGATATAGGAAGGGCTGATTCTCAATCTTGCTGGAGCAGTAGATTTTAGTTTCTTCCCACTGTTGATGTTACTGTCTGCTAAGTGGGGGGAAAATATTTCATAGAATACTGCACATCAACTTTTCAAGCATTATTTGTTTATAATGAAGTATCTGTAAGATGAGCTAATTACAGATGAAAGTTGATTTTGAAGAGACTGGAG